CCCGGCGGGGGTGCTTGGCCCCAGTGTTTCACCCACTGCCACCGATGACGCAGGAAGCCCCAGGCAGGCAGGCAGGGAGGGAGGGAGTTATTTTAGACACTGTCCCATCTGGAGGCTTCCAGAACCAAAGAGGAGGATTCAGCCGCCTTTCCCACCCCGTACTTCCAGAAGCCATTATTTAAAGAGAGGCAAATGCCGAATGGGCTCCTGACTGGACAGTTGGCCCCAAGCCCACATGCTACATCCCCCCTCCCCAAGCACACTGTTCCCTCGGCAAACCCCATTCCCGCCACTCCATCCTGCTGGTGTTGCGGCTCCAAGCCCCACAGAAGCAGGGATGGGTCCCGGCACACCCCAGTGCGTGGTACCCAGCCAGACAGTGCCGTCAGGAGCTGCTCACTGGCCAGTGCATGGCTTCCATGCTTCAGCAGGCGACCGCAGGCTGGGCACCCTCAGCCCCACATCCACACACTGGCTTTTCCAGGCTCTTCTGATTTTTCCTCCCCTTTCACCTGCCAGGGGATGCTGCCCCATTTGGTACCACCGAAACCCAAGGGCTCGGTGCCATGTAGATCCTGCCACTGCTGTTTCAACAGCAGGACTGCATTTCCCCATGGGAAAGGTGACATCCCCCCCTGATTCTCTCCTCCAAACAATGCCTGATGCTATGGGCATCCGCACCAAAGATCCCAGCAGCCCAGTGCTCGCCACTGCGGCTGGACCATGCACACTTACTTCTCCCTGGGCAGCACCCAAAGCCTTCCCAAGCCCCTCTGCCCACAACACCGGCACTCACTGGTGGTGCTTCCCGACATCTGGATAATGCATTTAGATTCCCGGCTCATCTCCCGGGAGTTGAAGGGCCGGACACGCACCGCCACCTTCACGGATGCTCCCGCCATCGCGCTGGCCGGAGGTGGGTCCTGCTAGTGGAGAGCAGTGGCTGTCCTGCAAGGAGGGAAGAAAAGGGAGTTAGGAAAGCTCGCATCCCAATCCCCATCTCACAGCCATACCGGAAAAATGAATGGAAAGCCTGTGCAATGAAAACTCCCAGGAATGCTGGTTTACCTCTGCCCGAAAGATGACATTTTGTTTCATCCCTCAATCTGCCTGTGTTTTGCATCTCCCGCCTCCCCCTTGTATCTCGGGTCAGGACCCCCTGCTCAGTCCCAGGGGACATCCCTGCCCTTACCCCAGGGCAGCACCCAGAGCCTCCATCACCCTGCGGCATCACTCAGTGGACGCCCACAGCAGGGGACAGGGCCACATAGGCAGCACCAGCACCTGGGGGACCCCCAAGGAATGTTTTTTCCATCCCGGGGTGCCAATGGCGCTGAGCAGGTAGCCCCTCACTTGCAAGCAAGCCCACAAACCCCTGCCCATCAGCCAAGCCTCCTGCCTCCGCTCCAGCCCCAGCAGAGCAGGGACTGGGCAGCAGGACCAGGTGGAAGGCAGGGGAGGAAAATGATGGCATTCGTGTCGAGAAAGGCGGCAGCTGTTGAACACAACCACAGGTATTTGCCTCTCATTCAGTTCCCGGCAAAAGCAGAAGCACAGTGTCAGCAGGAGCAGCACCAGCCAGCAAGCCAGTGGCGATCACACTTAGCTGAAGCTCCCAGCTCACAATCATTTTTCCACTCCTTTTGCTAATAAATTATTAATCACAAATGCCACAAGACAAAATGAACCACTCTTTTAGATCTCCCAGAGCAGCCACTCATCCCAGCATTGGTGTCCAGGCTCTCTGCAGCTGGTCCCACCTTCCGCGAGTCCCAGTAAAGCCTCACTAGCATTGGCCAGAAAAGGATGCTGGGGTCCTTCCCTTGACCACCAGGTCCTTTGGGATCAGCCGTGAAAAAATCCATTCCTGCCTTCTAATGTCCATACCCTCTCCTGCCCGTCCCCTGCTCCCTGGCTGCCCAGGCTGAGCCTGCTGGTGGAAGAGGAGCTCAGCATCCCGCAGCACGGGCAGGCACCAGCTCCTCCGGCATCCCTGCCTGTGGGACTCCTGCCTGCAGGACTCCTGCAAGTGTGTTTGCAAATGCCCTGGGGCTTTTTGAGCCTGGTCTTTGCCAGTGGGATGCTCACTCTGGGATGAAGGCAATCAGGAGCGAGCAATGGCACAGCTCTGGTTACGTGGACCATGACCCAAAGGAAGTGGCGCAGTAAGGATGGGTCCTCAACACAAGATGGGTTTTCCCACAGTGCAAGTGAAAAATACAGCTGAATTTGTAGAAAAGGAAGAAAGAAAAAAAAGAAGAAAAGAAAATAAATCAACAGAATGGAAAGTGTCCCAAGAGAAGGAGATGGCTTTAAAACTAACTGAGGTTTGACAGCTCCGGTTTCATTTCCAAAGGGGGTGGGAGGAAAACCAATGTATGCTCTGCCCAAAGGCAGGTATATTCATGGTGCAGTGGGAAAATTTGCAGCCTAAAAGTATTGTAAGCTTAGTGCTGTCTTTCAAAAATGCTTCATCTGTTTTAAAAGCGAGCCTGCATCCCCAACAGCAGGAGGAGGACAAATCTCCTGTTAGAGTTCCCAAACCGTCCTCTCGCTACCCCGCTGGGACAGCTCCAGACTTCCCACTGCACTCAGCCAGCAATTGCACCCTTAAATCCCACCAGCTCCAGAGCTCAAGCATTTGGTCTCAGGTTTTCTTGAGCGCAGATTATTTTAAGCTGGTGTTTAACACCACCGTTGAGTCCCTGAACCGGCAAGCGGGCTGCCACATACCAACAGGCCTCTGCTTTCCCCACTCTGCTGTTTTCTCAGATGGGGGAGAAAGGAAAAATTAAACAGGACTTCTTGCCAAAGGGGAATGAAAAAGTTTGTTTTGCCATGAAAGGATGGGATATATTCCTGGGTGGAAGGGCTGCATCCTCACGATGCCATCGGCTCGAGCTGCTCCACCCTGCGGCACTGCTGGTCCTCAGGGATGATGGATCCGTTGCTGGGCTAAACCCCACGCAGCAACCAACAACTGCTCATGTCAAACACTTCCCTCTCCTCCTCCACAGCCGGGACAGCTTTCTTCCCCCCACTTTGCAGTCTCTCCAGCTTCCAGGGCTGCGAAGAGGTGGGTCAGGTCCCTGGGCTCCCACCTTGTGGCACAGCCCTCAGCAACAGCCACCAGCACCAGAAGGGCACACCCATCAGCAACCCCACCAGCACCGGGACCAACTGCTGCCCGTCACAGGCAGCCTCAGACCCTGCCCTCGTTCCCTCCTGCCCCTGCGCCATTCCCATCACAGCCCCATCACTTCCCATGAAGCAGCTCTGGTTTCTCTTTCATCCCACTTTTCCAGGCACCTCGTCTTCCAGGCACTGATGCATGCCCTCCATTGGTGGCTGCTCACCCTCCACTGCCAGGAGTGCCTGCTCAGCCCCACACCAGTAGCCCCCCAGCCCACCCTCACTGGCCATGAGAAGCCCCCTCCTCGCCAGCAGAACCCTTCCTCTCTCCCTGCCATCCCTATGCCCACATCCCAGCTTATTCCCAGCAAGCCATCTGGCTCGCCTAGCCCAGTAGCATGGGCCCCTCTCCCTGATGGTATTCCCTGCTGCAGAGCCACAAGCTCGGCTCCATTTTCTGTCTCCATCCATTTCCTTCAGCTTCCTCGGCCGACAACATGCCGCTTCCCTCCTGCTCCTCTGCAGCAATCTAGTCCCATCTCCACCACAGCGGCGCAAGGACCACTGGCAGCACCGTGCCCCCTTGGGGAGCACTGGCAGCCCCCTGCCCAGCTCCTTCCCAAGCCTCCTCTCCTTCCCCTGACTCTTATTTTCTCGTCTCAGCCGCGAGGAGGAATTCAGCCTGAGCCCATGTAATGTGGCAGCACCACCAGCCATGGCCCGCATCGGCATCACTGGCCACAGTCACTCAGCATCCTGCAGAGAGAGGGGACACACTGCAGCAGGCAAGCTGTGGACAGGCAGGGCAGGCGGGCGGCTCAAGTCCAGCCAGCTCACTCTGCCTGGGGACAGTCCACCGCCTGCTTAATCTGCCATCGAGAGAAATTCAATAAGCCGCTATCAGCCTTTCGCTGGAAGAGGGCCAGCACCACGGCCCCACTCCCCGCTCACTCCCCGCCTCCTCCTGGGGCCACCCCACACACAAGGGAGATGGCAGAGGAGGACAGCAGAGCCCCTGGGGCCATGGTGCCAGGGGGCACATCCGGACCTGTCCCCCCACTCTGCAGGGCATCTCTTCCCCTGCATCCTGCGCAGCCTGCTGCGCTCTGCCCACCCCTACCGGCACACCCACCAGCCCTCGGTGATGAGCGAAAGGCCTAAACAGCGATAATTAACTGGATCAGCTAAGATTAATTGGGCAGAGATTAGCTAATGAGACCTCTCTTAAGTCCAATGGCTACAGACTGACAGCCCTCCTGCCACCGCTGAGAGGTGACCAGTGGGATGGGGAGCATTGTCCCCAGGTGCCACCTGCAGCGAACTCTTCCCCTAAGGATGCTGCAGGGACATGCTGTGCTGCCTGTCCCCTGGGTGCTGCAGGACACCAGGGTTCGAATGATGCTAACAGTGGTCAGCATGGCCAGGATGCCCCATTCCCTGCGCCCAGCATGGCCCAGGGGCTGCCTCACCGGGGGGCCGCAGGCAGCTCTGGCAGATGAAGAGCTGCCTGCACCAAGGGAAATCCAAGGTGAGTTTCTCCTTTTGTCTGTGCACCTCCCCACATCACTTCAGTGGCAAGGGCAGATGCCCTGTCTGGCTGCACCTCCCAAGCCAAGGTGTTTCTCAGCTGCTGACAGGCTTTGTTTTAATGAGCCCTTCCCCTGCACCCCTTGTTGGGGTCCCCCAGCTCTGTCTGGGACTGCAGGACCCCACCCTCCCTCTGGGGACAACGGGGACAGTGGGGGACCCTGGGGGCAGCTGGCCAGGATGATGCGGCAACATTGGCACCTGCGAGACGAGCCCGGTGGCTGCTCCCTGCTCACCTCCCGCCCCGTGCAGGACAAGGGGCCGTGACAGTGCAGTTTTCCCCGAAGCAGCACCCGCAGGCAGGGAAGCAGCTCAGAGAACAGCCCAGGGCAGGGGCAGGTACCCCCCCATCCCCAGCTGAAATCCAGCCCCCCCCGCTTCCCCAGTGGCATCATGGCCACCCTGCCCTGTGCCTCCTCACCTCCTGCCCACCCCAATGAGGGACACAGCTTCGGGGCAGTGTTTGAGAATTACAATGCGGTTTAACTTTGCAGGTAGCAAATTTAAGGCCGTGGATGAGGGGGTTTGCTCACCACCAGCCACCTCCCCATCCCTGCTGCAAAGGTGAGTCACCTCGCACTCCGTCGCCCATTCCATCCATCCTCTCTTCTGCACGCTAAAACCCACAGCAAGGAAAAGCCGCACGGAAAAGGCAGCGAGCTCTGGCGGGTTACCAGCATGGCTAGGCATGGAGAGGGGTGGGCAGCTGGGGGTTGGGGGGGAACACCAG